GGGGGGGGAAGGAGGAATGGAAAACACAAAGAGTACTGCTCAAATAAGAGTACTGCAAATGTTGGGAACGTTTTAACACTTTCTGAAATCACTAGTAAAACTATTTCCTACACTGTGTGAGAGAGAGAGATTGCACAGATACACCCATCGAATGTGGCAGAAGATTAAAAGAAAATGAAGCGAGTTTAGCTGCATTTTTTGACACAGGCATTGGAGATACTATACGGTTATCTTCTCAGAAGAACTTGCACATATAGGACTGAAATTTAGAGTAATAAAACTCTCTGAAAGCTACAGAAGCCTGCACAGAACAACTGACCTCTGCTTTAGCAATTCTGAAAATTTCATGGGATTCCAATACTCCACACAAGTACTTAAGATCACAAGCAAATTGCTTCAGATTGTTTTGCTGAAGGATCATAAAGCAAAAGTAAAGAAGCAGCTTCTATATTCAGCCTGCTTGGAGGGAAGGGTTATAATAAACCCTGTAAACCAGTAACAAAAATTAGTATGCAGTCAAACACCTAAGGTTCCTAACTGTATGACCAGAGCTCGGTCCTCGAAGAGCTCTTCAGCTTATGGCAATAGAGATGCTCAACAGTTTATCAGGGCCAGAACATAACACCTGGAGAGTTCTGACATGCCATACAGGCAAGAACCCAGATGGCTCATTCTTCCCACCTATAAAGAACTTGGGTACAAATTCTTTTCTCTCAGCTGTTACTCTCATCCTCCAGATCCAAATCAAACACAGATCCCTGTTCCTGGAAAAGAAAGAGCATGTTGTGCTTAAGGAACTAGATTAAAACTCCAAAGATCTTGGCTCTATCTATAGCTGTGCCTATATATTACTGGGAAAGTCACTTAAGCTCTCTATGCATCAGTTCTCAGCTTGTGAAACAAGGAAAGGAAGACTTCTCTGTTTGTCAATGGTGCTGAGACGATAAATTCACTGATATTCATAAAGGGCTCCAATAATATGGTGATGAGGACCATAAAATCCCTCTAAAAAGGGAGAGGAATTCACTACCTTCCACGCCTTAACAGAAGCTCTGTTCTACCACACCTACTAGCATCACCCCAGGCATGCCCTTGGAGTGCAAAAGCTTCAGAGGGGTAGCCGAATTAGTCTGTACAGCATAAACTTAAAAAACAACAAAAAGGCTGGTAGCACTTTAAAGACTAACAAAACAAGTAGATGGAGGTACGAGCTTTTGTGGGCACAGCAAGTTATACTGCAAAGTGCTAACAATAGCATGCACAAAATTAAGTAGTTCTGTCACATTTTTAGGGATAGCAGAATATGTAAGTCTCCATCTATTTCCTGCCTGGCCCTGGCCCTTTCCTCTCCTCTCCAACAAGCCCTGACCTGTTCCTAACATGAGAAGAGAACAGTATCAGTGCTAGGGATATGAATGTTTAACTGATTAACTGGTGGGGGCTGGAGCAGTTGCCCATCTGCTGCAGGCTAAGGGCCTGCTCCAGCCCTGCAGGGGGCCCACTGAGGACAGGAGCTGCCAGGCACCCCGAAAGCAGGGCTACTCCAGACTAGCCAGTTCAGCTCCTGCCTCCGGCAGGTGGACCACTGCAGCCCAGCAATTAGGCAACTCCAACCGGCTGGATCTGCCCCACTTCTTGAATACCCAGAAAACAGAGCCATGAAACTAACCATTCACTGCCTCAAATGCAGATCCAATGATGCAAAAGGCAAACATCTTAACAAGTTGAAACAAAATACAGGACTATGTAGCACTTTAAAGACTAACAAGATGGTTTATTAGGTGATGAGCTTTCGTGGGCCAGACCCACTTCCTCAGATCAAATAGTGGAAGAAAATTGTCACAACCATATATACCAAAGGATACAATTAAAAAAAATGAACACATATGAAAAGGACAAATCAAATTCCAGAACAGAAGGGGGATGGGGAGGGGGAGAAGGTAAATGTCTGTGAGCTAATGATATTAGAGGTGATAATTGGGGAAGCTATCTTTGTAATGGGTAAGATAATTAGATTCTTTATTCAGACCCAGGTGTAAAGTGTTGAATTTAAGCATGAATAACAGTTCAGAGGATTCTCTTTCAAGTGAAGTCTCAAAAGGCTTTTGAAGCAGGATGCAGATAATTAAGTCATTGAGACAATGTCCTTTCCAGTTGAAATGGCAAGAAACTGTTTTTTTGTGACTATTTTCTTCCACTATTTGATCTGAGGAAGTGGGTCTGGCCCACGAAAGCTCATCACCTAATAAACCATCTTGTTAGTCTTTAAAGTGCTACATAGTCCTGTATTTTGTTTCAGCTACACCAGACTAACACGGCTACATTTCTATCATCTTAACAAGTTGTTGTGCAATGAATAGTACCAGTCCTGGATGGAAGAGCCTAAACTAACAGTTTGAATGTTACTGTTACCACAGCTGCCCCTTGGAATCTAACAGCAAAGAGAGAGAGAATGAGATTTTCCTTACACTTAACAGTGTGTATATTTAATTTAAAAGCAGGGAAACAATAGATGGAATGCACTGTCTATTCCAGCAAAGAGAAAGAGGAAAAGCCTGATTTTTGTTTAGAGAAATGTAGCATGTGTAACCCTTCTCTATTCCTTCCTGGGTCAGAGTAAGTCTGGGCAACCTGCTATTTCAGAACCTGTCAAACATGTTAAACTTGCCTGTAACATTCATCCACACTGCAGGAACCCAGAAATAGAGCCTGGCTTCCACCTTTCCTATCTTTGAAAATCTTATCACAGGGCTCAGCCACTGTTGTGCCTTGGCTGCTGGAAGATTCAAGTCTCACTCAGTTGAAGGAGTGGTGGTAATCCCAGATCATGCACATTTGTCTTTCAGTGGCAACAGGCCCCAGCATAGAGAACTGCTAAATGTGTCAAGTTGTTGCAATGGGCTCTTCTAGAATGGCAGAGAGGAAGCGATGGCAGTGATATGGGGAGCAGCAAACATGCAGGAAGAAGGAAGTGGCAAGTTGGAGCTTTGGGTTTCCGACAGGGATTGAACTGGCATACTCTGAAATTCCCACTTGAGACACCAAAACAAGACTTCATTGGCAGAACATCTTCATAGTGAGATGATCCCTATCCTTTCCTGCATGTTACAATCAAAGTGATTTAGTTTATGAAGACATGCAAATACTTGACGTTGGGGTTCAGTGTGACCAACCCATTGAAACAAACTGCCTAGTTCTCAAAGCTGTTGTTCAAAGCTGACTGCAAACTCAAGCAGCTATCGTTACATCAGGTTCAAAACATGAAGTGAGTGTAAGTCTTCTTTGCAACCACAAGCACGAGGGACTTTTCATTTAGCGTATGTTTTCACTTATTTAAATAAGTGCCCAGAAAAAAGAACAAGTTTGCCATGACGTGACCCAGTTTGACTTCTGGATGTAGAAAGAGAGAACCTCAATGTTGTGTTAAGCATCCCAGCTATGTATATTTTGCTGAATGTACGTGTTTCCCCATTGTAAGAGACTGTTGCTTATCACTTTAACAAATTTTAACCATTTGGACTGAAATCTTCCACAAGCTGGTCCTCTGTGCCAGGCTGATTTATTTATTTTTAAATAGCAGAAATAATTCAGCCATTTCAACAAATTAAATCAGGCCAAAAACGTTGCTTTGCCCATGTTAAAAAATGCTCAGAACCATTGCGTAGAGAAGCCCTTGCAGCTCCATAGTTTGGAGGTGAGATCTGAAATCATGCTGGTGTCAGAGATGTGCCTTTTATTGTTTCTACAAGAAACTGATCCATAATCCTCTGCACAATCACAGTTGATTCTCTGCTGAGCATGTGTCGTTAGAGTTTGGCAGCTATGTTTTCTGCAGATTCCACCTATAGTCAGCATGCTCTGTTCCCTGAGAGCTTCTATGCACTGACCAGACTGCATATATGCCATTCCTACAATGCGACTGGGCATGCTCCATCCCAGCGTGGCAGAGACTAAGCAGGATTTTCCCTGCAACTTCAGGTGGGCTGCTGTGGCACTGAAAACAGAAACCGTAAGGCAGATTGTCCCTCTTGTGCTCTCAATGCTGCCCTGGCTGACAGATAAGCAGCAGAGAGGAGGAGGAGGAAACACCCTTTCAGCTAGGGTCACAAAATGGATTAGGAGGAAAGGTAGAGCGAGCAGATTATTACAAGGAGCCTGATGAAGGAAGAGTGGGAAACAGAGAATACCAGAACAGCCTGACAAGGAAACTGGGTGCTGGGAGGGAGGGAACTAGGACAGGGAGTAACAGCACATGTGAGGCATGGAAGGACAGATCAAACAAAGAGCCAGAGAGGATAGAGATGAAGATTAGAACTAACTGGGCAAGGAGACTGATACAGAGCGAGGGGAAGAAGACTGGGAGCTAGAGCCGGAATTGGACAATAAGCTGGGGGAGAAGGATGAAGACAGGGAGAAGAAAAGAGGGATAGAAGGCATTAGGTATAGGGGGAAGAGTATCTGTGCCCACTATAGCACAATTCCTTCCAGAGCCTGGAAAGGAAACCCAGATTCCCGAGTCTCAACATCCTTCTATTGTCAACAAATATCACCGAAACTGCCCCCTGGCAAAGAGCACATGCCTCATCCTACTCTTGTGCAGATGCACAGAAGATGACAAATCTATGGACAGGATGAAATTCCAACACAAGGTGCTTTCATCCGAAGATGACACATAGATTTTACAAGCTAGATATATGTATGCACACACACAAGGGAACAGTTCCATTCAGCCTTCATCAAATGCGAGCATCTCTCAGATTTAACACAAAAACTATATAACCCACTTTCAGGACTTTGTAGCTACTCAATTTCACTACAAGAAATAATAATTCTTCTATTTTGCATTGGTTAGTTATAATCAATTATCCAGTGTAGTATTTACAACACTTTCAACAAATATCAAACCTACTGTCTAGGCCATGCTGGTGTTGGGATGGTAGAGGGAAGAGTATTTTTGCATAACTTTCCCCATAAGCTATAACTAGCTTTCAAACACTCACGTTTTTAAAAGAAGGTATAGTCACAGACTGAAGTATTCTGCGAACAGCATGAGACACTGAGCTGTGGTCCCTCTCCACTTGAAGCACTTGTTCTTCTAGGAAAGAGACATGGCGTCCAACCATTTTAACAAATGCCTGTGGGAGGGGACAAAAATATCCAATGAAAATTATTAGCAGCTGCTTACTTGTTTTTAATACTATTATAGCTACTGTTCCAGAGTCAAATAAACTGCTTCAACAAGATAACAGAATGCACTATTACTAATCGGAGTATAAAAAGGGATGTATTTTCAAACATGGATTCTAATTTTCCACCTATATGCAGTAAAATGAGTGATTACTCATGGGGCAAATGATTCAGCACTATTTTTTTCCAATATGCTTCAAATGCACAGTTTTGCTCCTCATTTGCACACAGACTAGACGAGTCACTTGCATACTGGCTGAAAATCTGACCATAGACATCCAACTATACTATCTACTGGCACCTGCAAACTGGATGGTTAGAAGACTAAACTCTTGCATTTATAATTAGTTATGGATAGAAAACTGCAGAGGCAAAATAATTATTATTAATCTTAGTGACTGGACAAGGATCTCTGAACTTCTGGCTATGACATCCTCTAATTTTTTGTGGAATCCTGTTGTAAGAAGTGATGGGCACAGAAGGGTTCTAGGTGAAAGATCACTACATCTGGATCCATAAAACAGTGAAATACCAAATCCATCTCATGCAGAGAAACAAAGTTTCCATATAGCAAGGACAGAATAAGTCCTACTAGACCCAGGGTGTCCAACCAGTTCTGAAGCTAATAGCCAGTATAATGGCAACTGCTATAGCAAAACAGCCACACTCAACTAGTCCAATAGCCACATTGTTTGAGCCAATTAGCCATACTCAACCAGCCAAATTGCCACATGAGGTTAGTGGCAAGTGTGTTGGACACCACGGTACTAGACATCCAAAAATGCCAAGTCAGGGCAGTCAAGAAAAAAATAGTTCCCACCGAATATAGCATTTCTCTTTACCTGCAGCTGAGTGACACTCAAAGGTGTGAAATTTTTTTCTCTCTTTGTAAATATCAAATAAAATAATACATCAATTCCCATATGATCCTTTCAGCTGAATGACCCCACTGGTCAGCATAAGCTTCAGACCCACATTAGAACTGGCTTTTGGGGGGGAAAAAAACCCTGATCCATGTAGCCAAATGATCACAACATACTGACCACTAATATCCAAATTCCACTGTAATACTCTCCCACATACACATAAAATGCTATAAGGTAAAGTTAAAATGACTGTCTTAATTGTAAGATCTCTGTAGCACACTTAGTTTCCTTCTCTTGAGAATCCATTTTATATTTTGCTGAATTAAGGCTCTGAAGAGTAGCTCTAGTCTGAAAATAAATCTCACACAAATCACACCTTCTTTCTTATTCAACAAATAGTATGTGTATTCTAAGTTGGAGCTGCTCAGTTTAGTGGCAAAAGTGAAGTTTTTGTCTATTTTTTTACTCCTGTTACTCTTGCAGAGCTACAGGAGAAAGAGATGGAGTCCTCTCCCTGCTTGTATATAACCACAGAATTATCAATTCAGTTCCTGCTACACCTTGGCGATGTCTACACTGGCACGATCTTGCGCCAGAGCTATGCAAATGAGGCTAAGCATGGAATATCACTGAGCCTCATTTGCATATATAATGAGCCGCCATTTTTGCGGAAGAGTCTCTTGCGCAAGGAGCTGTCTACACGGTCCCTTCTTGCGCAAGAAAAACCGTCTTGCGCAATGCCGTTTTTCCTGAAAATAATCAGTGTAGCGGCATTGCGCAAGAGGGTTTTTCTTGCACAAGAAAGGGCAATGTAGACAACTCCTTCTTGCGCAAGAGCCTCTTGCGCAAAAGGGGACAGTGTAGACAGCTCCTTGCGCAAGAGACTCTTCCGCAAAAATGGCGGCTCATTATATATGCAAATGAGGCTCAGTGATATTCCATGCTTAGCCTCATTTGCATAGCTCTGGCACAAGATCGCGCCAGTGTAGACATAGCCCTTGGCAAACTCCAGATGGCAAAGCTGCTGCACAGGTGTCACTGAGGGCAGAATTTTGGCCTGCAGAATCTTTTAGTACTGGTTATAACACTTGAGCCAGAAAGACCCTGAATTCATGTGATGAAATGACGGTACTGATTCTACTGACTGGAGATAAAACAAAATAAGGGGCAGCACAGGTATCACCTGGATGTAAAATTACTGTCCATCATGAAAATAATAGCATCAACTACCCATTTGCCCTGAAAAGTGTTTTCTAGGACCAAAAGCAAGTCAAGAAACAAATCTCAGATTGTGGTCCCTGGCAAAAAATAAGAGGCAATGCAAGTCTGGTTTTGAAATTATTTTCAGTTCAAATTAAACACTGTAGTTTAACATCAATAAAGTAGCAGCAGGTAAAAGAAGAGTTCCTCACTGTTAGAGAGAGGGAGTGGGAGTCGGTGGCTTTGTCATTTACTTGACTTATTTTTATGCAAGATTCTAGAGCAAAGATTTGCTAAGACAGGAGCCCAAGTAAACTTTGGGTTAGATTTTCTAAAGCGCCAAAGGAATTCAGCACCAGATTCCCACAGATGGTCAGTTTCAGCACCTAAGTCCATAAGGCACTTTTTCAAAATTACACCCTAAGTCAGTATTCAGGTGCCTCCCTGATTTTCAAAAGAGTTGGGAAACCAATAGCTCTTTCAGAGGTTGGGATACTCAGCACTTTTGAAAATCAGGAAGATGCCTAATTGTCCTAGAAGCCCATTAGACTCCAACTTTTGAAATTTTTATCCTGAAGCTCAGTGCCTCAGTTTCTCTATCTGTAAAATAGGAGCACTATCTACCAGCTTCACCATGCTGTAGCTAGATATAAAACACTTCAAGGCCCTTGGATGAATGGTGACATAAAATACAATTACAATTAGTAAAGGAATTACAAAGTGTAGTGTTATAAGCTACAAAAAGTTTGCTTTGGAAAACACAGTGCCTTAAATACAATAAAATCAATTGCTATTCCTGCCCACAACAATAAGCTTCATTGAGGGAGGTAGACGTTGTTTTGCTACTTTGCACAAGGGATGAGCTCGAAGCTTGAGACCTGCCCATCTTTAAATTGATAAAACAAACATTTAGCTTTTTCACTTCTCCACATCAGTTAAAAGTAAAATTTAACATTTGTGATTTATCTTGTCATGTTTTAATTATATTCATCTCAGAGGCAACCCTACCCTGACACTGTAATTTTAATATAGTGCTTACTAAATATGGTGAGGACATCATCTTAGTGAGTCATACTGGCTTCCCTCATACAGCAAGCACTAAAATGCTTCAGAAGAGTGGAGTACAGATCCATCTTTTACACAATTACACAAGACTTATCAACAATCTGTAACTGATGGACTTTTTTTTTTTTTTTTTTTTAAACAATGAACTCTATGGCATAAATACCCATACAAGGCATAAAACCTAAATCAGCGATGGGCAACCTAGGCTAGATAGAGGGCCCCAAGACTGTTGTAACCAAGACAGTCTCCTGAGATAGTGCAGCTTTGCTAGCTGCACTTGTGTACCTAGAATTTGTGGGGTGGGCCCACAGTGCTTTAATTGGCTGCAGAGAGAGCACGTCTCTCTCAGTTGTCATTGTTGTATGCAATCAGCACACACCTCACTTCACATGCCCTTAGAACATAAGAACGGCCGTACTGGGTCAGACCAAAGGTCCTTCTAGCCCAGTATCCTGTCTACTGACAGTGGCCAGCACCAGGTGCCCCAGAGAGGGTGGACTGAAGACAATGATCAAGCGATTTGTCTCCTGCCATCTCTCTCCAGCCTCTGACAAACAGAGGC